GAGGATAAAGGTGCTTCCTGTCATCTTCCGAGCACCATTTATGGGGGGCATGGGGGCCTCTGCGCCCACAGGCCGTGCTAGGGCAGAGGAGGGGTGGGAGGTAGCAGCTAGTGGGTTGGGACCCCCTGAGTGGAGTTCCAGAGTCCATACAAGCACCGGGGCTCCGTCTGGGGCCTAGAATTTGGAGTGGCAGAGGTAGAAAGAACCTCAGAGAATCAGATCTTCCTTTTCTGAGAAACGGGCTTAGAGACCAGCACTGGTCTGGCAGTGAGGACATAAGGCCTCTAAGACCCCGCCCCTCTCTCCCTTCCCCATGGTCTCCGATTTCCCACGTGGGAAACTGGCCTGGGATGGCTCACACTCTCTCTTGGACCTTGCTTCATGGGTTTGGAGAGCCACCCCGGGGGTCTCTAGGAGGGGAGTGGAAAAGCTGAGAGGCAGAAGAGTGCCCCAGGCAGAGGACAGGCAGTCTTCCTCCGCCCTGGCTGTGCCTTTACTGTTGGGCCACGTCTTGGACAAGCTGCCACCCAGCCTGGTTTCTCCATAGGTGCAATGGGTACACAGAGTGTAGTTCATGGGGACACAGGAAACAGTCCACAGATGGAGCTGTTACTCTTATTGTCAGATATTACCCAGACTTGGAGGGGAGGAACAGTGGGGATTCAGTCCCATCCTGGAATAAGGTCTTTTAGGAGATCCCAGAGCTGGCCAAAGAGGGATGGAATCCCAGCAGGGCTTGTGAGTTTGTAGCCTCACATTTGGTGCTCCCATGCCCCCACCTTTTTGTACTCAAGGCTGTCTTCATGGCCCCAGATGCTCCCAGACTCAGTCCCCCACCCCTCAGCTGAGACACTGAGACCGGGCTGGGACAGGAGCTGCATGTACCCTGTACCGTCAGGACTCCCATGTCCTGGTCTCCCATCTGTCCTGAGCTGGCTGGAGCACAGCCCTTGGCAGGTCCCCCCTCCCCAAACCATCCTGGAGTCTCATGCGGAGTGCCCACATGGAGACTCTGCCAGGCAGCCTGCTCTTGGGCCGGGCCACAGAGTGGACTGGCCGCTTCAAAGGCTGTCTTTGTTTCAGCTCCAGCTCCAGCTAAGAGAAACTTAAGCCAACGACCTCGGGCTAGGAGGTGTGGCTGTGTCTGCTGGTTGTTACTGCTGCTGCTGTTACCATTATTGTCGTAATTGACACGGTGCTCCCAGTGGGTGACTTTTCATGAAAGGAAGTGTCTCTTCCTTCCCGTCACACCAAGGGTGAATGAGGTGGGGCAGGCAGGGGTTTCGAGAGAGGGAGGGAAGAAAGAGAAACTGTGTGGCCTTGAACTAGTCACAGCCAAGCCCCTCTCAGCTTCAGCAGTATCTAAGATCCAGTAGCTCATACCTCATCCATGTGGCTCGTATTTATGGAGCATCTGCTCCCTCCTAAGCACTGCTCTGGGCACTGAGACACAGCGGGGAGTGAGCAGGACAGGCAGACCACAGATCTCATTGAGGGGTGTGCACACGTGCACACACTGGGTGTGGTCTGTGGGGGAAGCCTCATGTCTCACTGTGTTTTGCTTAGGATGTTGGGCCCTTGGGGTCTAACACACCCACCTTACAGATGGGCAAACTGAGGTACAGAAGCACCCATGTGGTGTTAGAGACCCTCCCCATCCTTCCTCCTGCCCCAATTTCATCTGCTTTCAGTTCATCAGGTAGGGCAGGCCCAGGTTCTTGTCAGCAGGTTAACTGGGAATGCTGTGATGGGAGACTGCACATCCTCTGGGGAGAGGAGGCAGGTTTTCACCCTCTGAGCACAGAGAAGGAACTTGGGGCCTCCCTGCTCCCATTAAAAAACTCAATCTCAGGGTTCAATGTCTTGGGACAGGCAGACTGCCCTGGTTTTAAGTCCTAGCTTTGCCTCTAGTAAGCTGTGTGATCTCAGGTGAGTTACTGACCCTCTCGGAACCTCAGATCTGGTTTCTGTAAAGAGAGGGACACAATACCCACCGGGTGCTGGAAGATGCAGTGAGCCAGTGTACAGAAGTGTTTAGTCCAGCGCCTAGCAGAGACTGATTTGAGTTGGTGGAGTAGGTAGAGTGGAAAGAGAGGGAGGGGGCGGCTTGAGAACAGGTGGGCTTCACTTCGGGAGCACCCTCTTTCAGAGTTAGTGACTGAAATTAACCTCTTCACTGCCGCAGTTTAAGGATCTAGGGTTAAGCTTGACTTCAACACGAGCCGAGCCCTGGAGTTGAACAGAAACAGATTTCTAATAGGAAGGGCCGGAGCCATCCTGTTGCCCAGCCCCTGGCCATGTCCACTCACTGTCTGGTGAGGGGCTGGGTCAGGTCACAGCAGCCCAGAGATGAGGAAATGGCAGGGGGCTGTGAGCAAAGCCCTGCTGTTGAGTGTCCAGGCTCTTCTCACACTATTATCTGGCTGCACAAAACTCAGGGAATAAGCTCAACAGGGATGCACAGGCCCGGGAGCAGGAGCCTCTGAGCCCATGCGGAGCACTGAATCTGCGGAGACACGAGGTCCTGCAGAGGAAGATGCCATATCAGAAAGGTGTTACTATTCTTCAAAGTAATTTCTAAATTTAAATGCAATTCAATCAAAATCTGAGTGTTTCTTCTTCCCCTTTTCTTTTTCTTTCTCTCTCTCCCTTTTTTGGCAATGTGATAAAATCATCCTAAAGTTCAGATGGAATTTTTTAAGAAGAGTAATGATGGGGGACTGAGGCTCTGGGTAGTGAGTAGTATTACAAAGCTCCAGAAATGAAAACTGTACGTGCACCCAGCATTTACAGTGAGTGAGACAGAATAGAAGGTCCAAAACCAGCCCCTCAAAGTGTTCCTTACAAGTCTTTAGATTGTGGGAAAAGTAACATTTCAATTTATTGGGGGAGGGAGAGGGTCAGTCAGTCAATGCTGGGACCACCTAACCCATGGGGAAATACAGTGAAATCTCCATCTCAAACCTTACAGATCCCAGATGGATTAAGATAAACAGTCATCATCATCATTATTGTCATTATTGCTTCCTGGATGGAAAAGACAATGTCTGAATGGCAATCCTCTGGAGATCAGAGGTTTTCTTTTTGGAATTGAATCCACCTCTGTTACAACAGGGCATCTGAGACTTTGTGCTCAGAAAGGATCTAAACCCATAAGCTCAGGGCAAGACAGTAGCTCAGTGGCTCGTGGGCAGCAGTAGTCACTCTGGGGCAGGTAGGTTTCTCCTGCCTCTGCAGCTGGATGTGGCTGGGAGACTGGGATGGCTGGTCTGTAAGCCCCTTCTCTCCCCTGCAGAGCCAGGAGAGGAGCCTGGCCCCACTGTCACGGGCCCTGCATTGGGAGGTATGAGCTGGGAGCTGGGCAGGCAGGAGGACTCACCTGTCACCTGTGACAGGGGATTTCGAACTTACTTTTAATAGCAGAACTCTTTCCAAATGAAGATTTACCTGGAACCCTGATCTACCAATGACTGGGGAAGGGAGAGATAGGGCAGCCGGGACAGGACTGAGGGCACCCTGGGGAAGGAGGGCAAGAACTCTCCCCTCTCCTTCATCTAAGGCTGTGGGAGTGGGGGCCCAGAATGCCCCGACAGGACCAGAGAGCACATAGCCCCAGGCGAGAGGGAATGGAGGCCGAGTTCACTCAGGGACTTAGCTGCACACAGAGATAAAGAGTGTTTCCCTTTGTGGCTCTAGACAAGCTCTAATCCCTTTTCCGTCTGGGGTTAAACAGCTCAGATTGGTGACCTCCTTTTCAGGTAACCCGAGTGCCTGACTCCAGGAGATTTTCCTGGGAGAGTGTGGCCCCGGCAGAGCTCACCAACTCCGGAACCGAGCAGAAGGGACTAGAGATCCTCTGGCCGCGGGGTTCTGAACCTGGCCATCCCCAGGGATCCCCTGGGGAGCTTTAAACCACGATGCCCCTTGCAGGACCTTAACTCAAACTCACGTGGGGGTGGAGTGGGTGGGGTAGGAGACAGGCATCAGTGTCTTTTAAATGCTTCCCAGGTGATTCTAATAGGCCCTGGTCCTACCGCCTTATTTCTCTGAGGCCTGAAGACAGTGACTTGCCAGGGTCACATAGCATATTTGCAGCAGGGCTCTAGTGAGAAGCCCCATCACAGGAACAGATGGAGAGAGTCCTTCGGAGCTGAGCATCTGAGCCAACAGGAAAGAAGGGACAGAGGATGTGAAAGCAGAGAAGAGAAGTCAAGAAGGGAGAGGATAAAAGCTGGTGGAAGCTCCAGTGACCTGGAAGATTTCAGGATTCAAGGATGGTTAGCAAAGGACTCCTGCGTCTTTCTCTCCCATTTCACAGAAGGGAAGACTGAGCACAGAGTCCCCCAGGGACCTGGTTGGAAAGGCATTGTTAGCATAGTTATTTCTGGAGATTGGCCACATCTGTAATGGTCAGGAGCCAGCCTGCAGGGATGGCCTCACTTGCTCTTGACAAGCGTTAGGCTCGGTTTCTCTTCCAGGCTTATTTGGACTCTACATCAAGGCTTTGCAGACGTTGGCAATAAACACAGCAGCCGCAGTGGTGATGAGGCCAGGCCCCTGGACTGGTGGTCCGACAGACCTTGTTATGAATCCTGGTCCCTCAGGGAGACAAGCAACTTAGCCTCTCTGGCTTCCGTACCCCCCCCACCTCCTTAAAATGGGATCCCTTCTGGTACTAAACGAGAGAACAAGAGAATGTACATTAAAGGGCCAGGGTCACGGCGCCTGTGTAAACAGCTACCCAAGGGGGTGCTGTCCAGCAGCTGGAGGTTCTATGGCTTGTGTTTCTGGGTACTGCTAACCTCCTGGGTCATGCCGGCGTGGGTTTATTCTTGAGATTCTTTTTCTGTCTGGGATGAAGGGGGGATCTCACAGGTTCTCAGCAGTAAGGATTTCCTGAGCTGGAGCAAACCAGGAGTATAGGACAGTTCATGCAAGATTAACAAAAAGGAAAGGAAAGGAAAAAGAAGAAAAAGTGGTCAGAAGGTGTGGGCTCCTGGTGCTCCACGCGGCCAGAGTAGCTTCCAGCGGCAGTGTTTCTGCAGGGGCAGGGGTGTTGCATCTCTGCAGCCATCAGCTCCCTTGACGCCCTTAGTAAAATCGAGCCTGTGGCTTCCCCCTGCCCTCCGTCAGGTGGTTGTGAGACTGGCTCGTTCTTGCTCACCTGCCACCTACTCTACATGGGTGCCGGGCTGCCTCACTGAGCTGCCAGGAGGCCAGATGAGCCACAGGCTATTCAATCCTGAAGGCCCGCCTGAATGGGGTGAGTCGCCAAGGATGACCAGAGAAATGTGCTGTGCTTGGCTGGGGGCTGGGAAGGGCCATCCTGAGGAAGCAACTTGTCTCAACCTGAAGGGTCACCAGGACCCGCCCAGGTGAGGGGAAGGTGTGGCCTCATTTGGGGCAGTTAGGGCTTTGCTGGTGCGCGGGCTGCTTCACAAACAGGAACTTACTCTCTTCTTAATTATTCCTGGAGGATGTAGGTCCAAGCAGCCCCCAGGGTGCTTCGGGGCCCATAAACATGGGAGCCTCTGCAGCTTTCCCAACTCAGCTGAGCTGCTGTGAAAACTTTCTGCCTGAAAGTGGGGCAGGTTTTGGAGACAGGATTTCCCCAAGCACCATGGCCCCAACCCCAGCCTCCTTTGACTTGACCCCAAGGTGATTTAGGGTTTCCATCAGAGTTATGGGGAGAGGGCAGGATCGGAGGAAGAGTGGCAGGTGTGGTGTGGGCAGGGCCTGGCGGGGCTGAGAGAGGAGGGCAGAGTCAGGGCCGAACCCCCTCTGTGCGTTCAGAGGGCCACCCGCTGCAGCCAGGAACCAGGCAGAGGACACACTGAAGAGGGATGCTGAGGACTTGCCCCCAACCCAGCCTGCTCAACCTGCCACCTCCCCTCGCCACCTGCTCCTCCTGCCAGCATCTCATTCTCTCTCCTCCCCCGTCTCCCCCTCTTCTTCTCCTTGCAGCACCTCCTATCAAAGGAAAAAGGAAACAGTCAGAGGAGGGTGAACCCCTACACCCTCCTGTGTCCCCTCAACCCGATGGTGAGCAGAGCAGGAGCCAGAGCCCTGTCCAGCTGGAGGTGAGTTGGGTGACCCCCTGGGGGCCTCTTCCCTGCCCCTCCCCACCTGTCTCCCAACCCCCACCTGTGTGCAGCCTCCCAGGTGAGCTTGGAGACTCCCTGGAGATGTGTTCCCTCCCCCTCCCCCCACCATCCTGCAGAGCCAGGAGAGGGGCCCCACTGTCTCAGGCCCTGCACTGGGCGCAGGGAGCTGGGCAGACAGGAGGGCTCTGGCAGGGGTTTCAGACTTGATGTTCATAGCAGAACCCTTTTATCAAATGAAGATTACCTGGAACCCTGATCCATAAAACAGATAAAAGCATTATTCTACGATTAAAACTACATTTACATCCATCCATCCATCTAAATTTATAACATGGACCTTACACGGTGAGATCAGCATGGCCGTGTTGAAGGGCGCAGTCTGAGGGGGGCGCTGGTGGCATCTGTGCTCTTCGGCTATTTGTTTCGGTGGCACAGTCTGGAGTAAAAATCCTGATTCGTGTAGAAAAGTAGTTGCAACTGGGAACAGGTTTTAACAGCTTGCCTGGAACTCCGAGAAGAGGACAGAAGAGCACATTCACTTGAGCGGTGGTCAGAGCGCCTTCGTTCTAAGGCTGCATAGAACAGCTGCCTCGGTCTCCGTGTGTTCCGATTTCATAGGTAACACGTGAGCGGGCTTGTCTATTATCAGAAGCCTTTGATAAGTCAAAATCACAGGCACGGTACTTGAATAGAATATTTTTGGAATGCTTGGCTCTCTGCATGGTTCTAGGCTCAGATGGTTTTCGTCCTTGTGGTGTTTGGGGCCTCCCCAGCCAGGACCTTAGCCCCAGCCCCAGCAGCTGTAGACCCCTGCCCTGAGCCATCAGCCACATGAACAGCATCAGGAGAAACTGACTCTCTGCAAGCAGAAACCAAAAGACCTGTGCATCTGATGGAAGTGCTAGTCGGAGCCTGGGACAGGGGTCTCCCCTCCCTGAGTTCAGTGCGCAGATGGGTGGGTCACGGAGGCTGGCCTGGCAGAGTGGCCTTGCAGAACCAGAAAGCACCAAGCACCTTTGTTCCTTCAGCTTGGGCCACAGGGGCCGCTGGGAGCCCTGGGGACACTGAGCCTACCGCCGGGAACTCACAGTCTGGTAGAGGAGCTGAGATGCAGATGTAACAAATCTAGAGCAAGATGGAAAAGTGATCAGAAGCTTGGAGAAAGTGCCCGACTGCTCCCATGGCCGCCTCTGGAGCCAGGCCCCGATGGGCCCTGACCTGGGGTCCTGGGCACCAACAGCTAGTGTGCCTCTCTGACCCCAGGAACAACACTGCAGACCCAAAGCTGGGTCTGGGCGCCTGCTCCCTCCTGTGGGAGCCTGGGGTTGAGGACGACGCACCTCTTTCCTCCCCCAGCAGCCAGTGGTCCCGCTTGTCCCCAGTCTCCCACTGACTGGGGGCTCATCCCACTGCCTCGTGTTCTTTCCCCAGGACTCCCCCGAGGCAGGCGGGGAGCGGGAGGAGGCGCAGGAGCGGGAGGAGGAGCAGGCCTTCCTGGTCAGCCTCTACAAGTTCATGAAGGAGCGACACACGCCCATCGAGAGGGTGCCCCATCTCGGCTTCAAGCAGAGTGCGTCCCTGGGGTGCAGGCAGGAGGGGGGCCCAGCAGGGGACCCCACCCAGGCAGGGCAGCAGGGCAGCAGCTCCGCTCTGGGGGACCCTGGGTGCTGCCAGCCCACAGGGGTTGCACACAGAAAGGGTGCTCCCCTCCAGGCACAGGGCTGGCAACGGGCGGGACTGGATTTCCATCCTCACAGGCCATGGTCCCCAGTGCACAGGGCACAGCCCACCCGGCCATCCCCGTGGCCCTGTCTCGGTATGTGCTGGTTCTGTGCCTGCCTGACTGGGCCATGGAGATGGGCTGCTGGCTGCCCCCTCCACCCACCAAGACTGACAGTGGCCCTGCCCTCTCTTTTCTCTAGTTAACCTGTGGAAGATCTACAAGGCAGTGGAGAAGCTAGGGGCATATGAACTGGTAAGGAGGGCACCTTTGAGTCCTCACCCTGCGGCGTCTTCCGCCCCACCCCTCCTTCACCACTGGGGGAGCTGGGGAAGACAGTGAGCCCAACAGAACCGCCCTTGCCCCTCGACAGGAGGATGAGGCAGGGTCCCAAGTCCTGCCCCCCACCCCCCGCCGTGTGCTGGTGGGAGAAGGAGGAACCTGCCTTGCCTGCTGGTACTTTTTGCTGCTCAAAGCAAGAATTCCTCTCTTCCCCATCTGTTCTGTGCTTGTGCTCAGAAAGCTGCTTGGGCCAGCAGTCGGGGCGGCCCCTGGAAGGGAGACCTGGCTGGTGGCCAGGCAAGCCCCCTCCCACCTGACTGCCCCCGCTGCTGGAGGAGCAGCTGCAAATCTGTCCTTGCCCCATTCCCATTGAGTGGGGACCCCGAGCTGCGAGGACCCCATGGCCAGGGGGCCCACGCCGCCATGCCCTCACATGGCGCCCTTGCAGGTGACCGGCCGCCGCCTCTGGAAGAACGTGTATGACGAGCTGGGGGGCAGTCCAGGCAGCACCAGCGCCGCCACATGCACGCGCCGCCACTACGAGAGGTATGGCTGGGGCCCCAGGGGCCTGGAGCCTGGGCCTTCGCCTCCCAGGGTTGGACCTGTAGGGCTCTGGCAGGGGAGACCAGGCTGTGGGCCTCCTGGACAAGATGCGGAAGAGCGTGGGCCGTGAGGCCGCAGGCTGTCTGTGTGCCCTGCCTGGCATGGATGTTCATGGTTGGGGCTTCGTGGAGGCCTGGTGGGCCTAGAGGTGGGTGGGAGGTGTGGCGCGTCCTGCCAGCCCTGGCCTCCTGGTGGACATGCCTGGCTCCTCCTCAGGTTGGTCCTCCCATACGTACGGCACCTGAAGGGTGAGGATGACAAGCCGCTGCCTCCCTCCAAGCCCAGGAAGCAGTACAAGATGGCCAAGGAGCCTCGGGGGGACGACAGGGCCACTGAGAGGCCAAAGAAGGCCAAGGAAGAGAAGCAGGTGGACCAGGTGAGCTCTGAGCCCTGTCAGCTGGGCCCAACAGCTGACCCAGGGCCTCCCTGTGCCCTGCCTCTGATGGCGCCCCTACCTGTCATCATTGCAGGGCCCCCTGCCTTGGACACCCAGAACCCGCTCTGAGGGCAGCACTTGTGGGGGCCCCAGGACCCCTGTGATAGCTGTGCGGCTGTTCACTACTTGAGGGCCCTCAGAAGAGGCTACATGTGGGCTCTGAACTCCAGTCTGTACCCTAGTCACCAGGCCCTATGTCCTGATACCAGGATGTATCCATTTGGAGGACGGGATACCTTTTGAAAATTCTGCACAAAGGCACTGGAAGGACTAGCAGAGGCTCCTGTGTACCCTCTTGGGACCCCATTGTCACCAGGTCCCCAGGTCAGGGTGCATGGTTCATGCCCAGTCCTGAGGCTTGGCCTTTTGTCATTCTAGATGATGCCAAGAAAGACCAAAACAGACATCCCTGACCTGGCCAGGCTTCCCAGCCAGGAGCCCTCCAGAGACAGCACAGAACAGCCAGGCCCAGCCCCCGGGCCCTCTCTGCCCTCTGTGGGTGCCAGCGGGTGCCCTGAGGCCTACAAGCGGCTCCTGTCCAACTTCTATTGCAAAGGGACACATGGTATCATGTCACCACTGGCCAAAAAGAAGCTCCTGGCCCAGGTGAGCAAGGTGGAGGCCTTGCAGTGCCAGGAGGAGGGCTGTCACCATGGGGCAGGTGGCCCTAACAGGGAGCCTCCGGTATCCCCAGCTGTTCAGCCCCTGGAGAGTCCCCGGAGCCCAGGAGGGCTGGCTGAGAACTCCAGGCACCAGCTGACACCTCAGGAGGGAACGCAGGCCCCTGGTGGCAGCCTCGGGGAGGAGGCTCAGGCCAGCCCTCGCCCGTCAGCCCCCATCTTCACTGGCTGTTTCCACGCCTACCCCACCGAGGTGCTGAAGCCTGTCAGCCAGCACCCCCGGGACTTCTTCCCCAGTCTTAAAGATGGGGTGTTACTGGGGCCGCTTGGCAAAGAGGAGGGGCTGCCAGCCAAAGAGCCCCAGTTGGTGTGGGGCGGGGATGCCGATCGCCCCTCTGCATTCCACAAGGGTGGCTCCCAAAAGGGCAGCCTCTACCCCAAGCCCAAAGCCTGCTGGGTGTCCCCCCATGGCCAAGGTCCCTGCCGAGAGCCCTGTGCCCCTGCCCACCTTTACAAGCAGCCCAGGCCTGGGCAACAAGCGCAGCCTCGAGGAAGAGGGCTTGGCCCATGGTGGCAAAAAACTGCGGGCAGTGTCTCCCTTTCTTAAGGAGGTGGATGCCAAGGAGTGTGGGGCTAAGTCTCTGGGGCCTGGCTTGGCCGTCTCCTGCCTGCTGGGCCCGGCCCTGGGGCCTGCCCTCCCAGAGGCCTACAGGGGCACCATGCTGCGCTGCCCGCTGAACTTTGCTGGCACCCCGGACCCCTTAAAGGGCCAGGCCACACTCCCCTTCAGCCCCCTGGTCATCCCAGCCTTCCCGGCACACCTTCTGGCCACTACAGCACCCTCGCCCATGGCTGCTGGCCTGATGCACTTCCCCCCAGCATCCTTCGACAGTGCCCTCCGCCACAGACTTTGCCCGGCCTCGTCTGCGTGGCACGTGCCGCCTGCCACAACCTACGCAGCGCCCCATTTCTCTTTCCACCTCAACACCAAGCTGTAGGTTTGAGTCCGCAGTGCTGTGCGGTGCTGTGCAGGGTCTGACATGGCCCGGGATGGGTGGGCACTGCCTGCGGGCTCTGAGCTGGAGCCCACTCCTCAGGAGAGCTCAGCTGTGCTCGATGCAGGATCATGCCCCTGGCTGGGCACAAAGAGAGGCTGCAGACAAATGGTTTTCTCTCAAGGAGGGAGTCCAAGCCTGGGAACTGGGGGCCCAGTGGTTGCAAGGCCTTGGAAGAAGACAGTGCGAGGCTGGCAGCTCCTGGCCAGGGCCCCAGAACAGGCCAAGGATGGGGTGAGGGGCCAAGGAGCTGGCTGGCAGCTTGAGGTGTCCAGGCTGCCCATGGAAAATCCAATAAAATACCTGTGAATCTACACAGCCCTGAGGTGTGCATGGTGTAGACTTCGCAGGTACAGGTGAGGCGGGGGCTTGCTTGTAGGTGGGGTCGCCAATGGGATAACCTGGGGAGTAAAGGAGAGGGACCTAGAATGCCATCCCCACTCCCTCACACACACGGAAGAGCAGGACCCAGAGCAAAACCCAGCCTCCTGTTCATGCTTCAGCAGGCGTGACCATCCTGCGCCTTCAATCCACTGCACCAATCGAGCCTCAGGACAACTGGCCGTTACACCTCACCGTACAGGTGCAGGGCTGAGGCTCAGAGAGAGCCAGTGACTTACCCAGGCCCCCCAGCAGGTAAGTGGTGGGGCAGAGCTAAGCCCCAGGCCCCCAGGCCAGGATGCACCCCACAGTTGTTAGCAGCGCTTCAAGCGTGATTCACACGTGTTCCTAGAAAGGCAGTGCCACTGTTGGCCCAGGATACGAGCAGGAAGTTGGTCTGCCCTGGTGGTGGCCTTGCAGGGCTGCTGCTGAATCCTTCCTGTGAGCCCCCACCCCACTTGTCTGCCACACAGCAGGCAGGGGGCACAGGAGAGCCCCACTGGGAGCACCTGGAGGGAAAGAGGGGCCTGAGGAGCCAGAATCTCAGCCTGGGCATCTGTGTTCTGGATGTGGTTGCTCCAGTTTAACGCCTTCCTTCCTGTGGGCTCTGCCTAGGACACCATGCACCCCTACCTGTGTCGGTGGGGGCGAGTGGGAGCATGTGGGGGGACTCCTGTCAGAGGCATCACTCCCCTCCCCTCCTCAGGCTGCCCGTTCTCAGAAGTCAGACACAGCTGCCTGCCAAGCGTGATTCACACATGTTCCTAGAAAGGCAGTGCCACTGTTGGCCTGGGGTCCAGACTTCTGGCCTCAGGTTGATCAGTGGGTGGCCTTTAACCCAAACCATTGGAATTTGTGCAGGTCAAAGGCCATCTCAGGCCAGGGGAGGGGCAATCTAGTGTGACCCCACCCCCACCCCCATTAGTTAACAGGTGAGCAGGCCGAGGCCACCACTGGGTGTGACGGAACCCAGATCAGGGTACTTGCAACACAGTCTGGCACCAGGGGGTGGGCTACCAGGGCTGAGGGCGATCCCATCCAGCCTCCTGCCTGCAGCTTTCAACTCAGGGAGCTGTCTGTGGACAGGAGCTCGGGTGGGCACAGGCAAGATAGCTGCCCTCCAAGCTGGGGCTGGCGATGGGGTGGCTGGAGGGTGGTCCCTGCTGTTGTGAGCATGCGGGCTCTGCAGGGGCTTCTTTGGATTCCCTGCCTCCCTCCTTCCGGGAGATACCAGGAGATACAAGTAGCTGCGTGACCTCCAGCCCCGAGCTCTTAACTCCTGCATGCATCCACGTGCTCGCATCTCTCAGCCTCTTATGTCTCTGCAGTTGACAAGGCGGGGTGAGAGGACCAAATTCTGCCGCCACCCTCCTTGCAAGTGCCTTGGGTGCTGGGCCTCATGTCTTCCGGGTCAGATTCCTCTGGGTAGGGGGGAGGTGAGGGCTACCTTTGTGTGTGGGCCCCTGCCTGATATGGGGCAGAGTCACTGGGATCCCCTTCATCTGCAAAGCCACAGCAGCGTCACACTGGCATAGAGATGGGCAGAAGTGTCTGGTGGCAGGACTTGAGCAAGGGACACTCACCGGTGTGATGGTGGTGCCCTCTTGAGGCTGCTCTGGGAAATACTCCTTTCCACGTGGGCGTCTGCATCCTGAACAGGACTCTTGGTCCGCTTGGGCATCAGCAAACACCCAGGGCCGAATGGGGGCGTGCTCCCTGGAAAGTCTCTGTGCCCTGTGCCCTGTGCCCTGCAGCTCCGGTGTGCTAGCTTTCCATGATTTTTCTCCTTGGAATTCCCAGGGATGGCATCGTCCCTATCTACAAATGAAGAAACAGCTCTGAAAGATCCTGTAGCTTCAGACACCAGGCTGGGCTAAGCGGAGTACCTGGCTCCCCAGAAAGGCCTCCTGCATGTGCTTCCTGGCACTGCTGCCCTAGGTGGGTGGATGCACCCGTGTTGTCTTGTTTTTTATACTCATTATAAAGGGGGAGCAGGAGGGCACCGCACGGGGCCCTGGGGTTTCTGGAAAGCACCAACTTCCCTCTTGAGGTTGGCAGCAGGAGTTTGGGTGAGCCCGGCAGCATCTCTCCCGCCACCTTGTGGGAGCTGGATTAGGGAGCACTGAATGCTGCTGTGTGGCAGCTGTGCGGGAGTCTGGTGGGCACGAGGGTGACAACTGTGGTGGGCGGAGGATGGGAGGGAGGAGGTACCCAGGACACAGGTCCCTGTAGGCTCAGAGGACTGCGGGCACCTGAGGAGGTGGACTGGGAAGATAAGGGGGCAGCTAAAATCACTGTGGTTATTGGGGGAGTTCATGGGAGCAAGTGCTGGGAGGGTGGGAGAGAAATCTTTGGAGGAGAGGAGGTGGGGACTAGGACCAGAGAGGCCAGGATCGGGGGAGCCTTGAAATCAGCACAGATAGGATGGCAGCAGTTTGGGGTGAGGGCTGCCCTCTGCAAGGACTGGGGAGGAGGACTCGTGGGTTTGTGGGCGACTGCAGCAAGGACATGGTGGGGAGTCTAGTCTCTTGGCATGACCTTCAGAGGGGGGAAGCCATGGGGTCTGGAAGTAGAGGGATCGCTCAGCCGAGGGTAGCATAGGAAGGGGCTGCAGGGAGCGGGCTCAGGGTGGGCACAGCTCAGACTGGCAGTGGAGGTTGGGGCTGGGAAGCCCCTATAGGTGAGAGATTTCCATTTAGGCTCAAGGCCAGAGGCTGCAGATGGTGGCCTGAAGATGTGTTTAGTATGACCCACGTAATTTTTAAAAACATTTTTGTAACTAGTTGCCAGCATTTAAAAATCAGATCTCACTTAAAATTTTGGACTTTGGGCTTGTCTTTAAAAATCAGTTTCTGGTCACGTGAGGCCACTGCCTGGAGCTCAGTAGTGGCTGCTGCCCCTTGGTCAGGGAACACCTGCCCATTCACTACAGCCATGCTTGTCCCCGACCCCGAGGGACCCAGCCCCGGCCAGCCCACCGCCGGTTCTCCTGTGGGCGCGGGCACTTCCACGTTCAAGCTGGAGCCCTGCAGCCCCTCACGCTAGGCGGCAACTTTCACTCTGCTGTCAGGCCAGCTTCCTAAGCAAGTGACTCCAAGACTGTCCTGATGGAAAACTCAACAGGGCTTCTAGATGGGAGGGCAGGGAAGAATTGGGTCACTGCAGAGTCGCCTGTGCAGTGTCCCCCGGTTTCTGGGCTGCAGCGGCAGGTGGTGGTGGGCTGAATGGGGCATGGGCACAGGTTCCCACCCTGCCTGACTCCCCGGGTATCAAAAGCCTTTGCCCTTCCCTGGCTCACATCTGTGAAATGAGTGCGGCCACTTCTGGGCTCTGCACTGTGACCCAGAGTGAGAGGCAGATAGGGTTTAGTGACTAGCGAAGGCCAGGTACCATTCCTTTGAACACACCTGGGTCCTGAGAGGACCTTCCCAGCTCCTCTGGGCCCCTGGCCCCTCCTGTGATCAGCAAGTGGCGCCACTGCCCAGCCCTGTTTGTGAGGCCACCTGGGAAGAGAGGAGGGAGCAGGAAGAAGGGGCTCCCAGGGAGGGAGGGGCTGCCGCTGCCCTCCTCTCCACCCCTTCCAGGAGGATCCTGACTGTCAGGTTCTTAGCTTGGTGCTTGGAATTCCTACCGCCTGCCTGGCCTTGTCACCCCTCCCTTGAGGGAGCAGGGGGGTGGGGAAGAAAGAGCAAGGAGGTGGAAGGCAGAACCCTGGCCCTGAGACCAACTCCCCCACCAGTTCAGGGAGGATTCTCAGGCCCTTTACTACAAGCCACAGAAATGCACTGCCCTGGGGGAGCTGCAGCTGCCTCCCACTGGCTCCTCTTCCCAAGCCTGCATTCGATGGAACCACACTGGTAGCCCAAACTAGGCCAAAATGAGAGGATGCGCACCCCAAACCCCCATGGGAGTCCACAGATGCTACAGACCAGGGTCGCCCACCCCCGTCACCCGCCCCCTACACCAGCGCTCCAGCCCTTACCCCCACACCAGCACCACCTGGCTCAGCTCCGCTGCCGGACAGATTCTCAGGACAGTCTGATCGCCCGTCCTTTCCTTACCTGTGTTCCCGAAGCACAGGCCTGTGACCTCAGAGGAAGTGTGTCAGCCAGGTAGACTGAAACAGTAGCTGACACACTGGTGACACCAGGGGAATAGGCTTCACTGGGCCTCCATTTCCTCATCTACAACAAGGAAGTAAGTAATTTCTACCTCAAGAGTCATGGGCATTTAGTGAAAGTGCTTTGTAAACTAAAGTTTTGGACAAATGTGAATCATCAGCTCCTTCCCTGCACTTTTGCTTGGCCAGCCTGACCACCGCCTGCCCCGCCCTTTACCTCAGGGCTTTTGAAATTCCTGGTGTACTGACCACCACTCCCCTGCCTGGCTTCTGACTCAGAGTCACCCTGACCTTTGGATCCTGTCTAGTCTGGGACAAGAATAGCAAATCAGCTTCACCCCAGGTTCCAGCTCTGATTGATGGTGGTTTGTCTGCAGCTTTGGGCTGACTCAGCGTGAAGGTGATGTAGTTGATTAGTAATGTCTGCCAAGGGCCCAGGAGGGAGGGCTGCTCACCTGTTACAGAGTTGCCATCCCCGTCTGAATATATGCATGATTACCTGGTGACCACCCAATAATGGGCTGGTTAACTTAAACTTAGGTCCCTGACCTCACTGCCACATCTCAGCCGCAGGTCCTGTGTGGAGCTGTGTGGTTTCCCTCCCACATGAGCAAGGATTGTGGGGGAGCAGGATTTGGGCTGCGGCGCCAAATCCTAGAAGCCTGGGTTGCACATCACTTGCCCGTGAGCTACCGAGTTGGATGCCTGGGTAATGATCAGGGAGGCAGCTTTTTGGGAGAAACCCAGGTAGGCTGCCCCCAACCACCCCACCACCACCACACACACACACACACACACACACGAAACGGTCTCTCCACACCAGTTCTGTGGAGAGGGACTATCTACGATCAACACCAAGAGTGGAAAGTTCTAGTCTCACTTGTAGGGTAACTGCATCTGAGATGGTGCCTGTGGCCGTGAGAGTGGGGGAAATCAGGAGATGACAAATTAAAAGAATCATTCCAAATTCTAACTCTGATCAGCTCACCCTGCTGCATAAACCTGGCCTGTGCCTCTCACTGCCCTCAAGTTAAACCCCAAATGTCTTAGTGTGGAGGGCTCTTTTACTGGTCCTGCTTCCTCCCCGTCGCCTGCCTCCCCCTCCCCGTGGCATCTCCACCTGCACAGCCTCCGTCCAGGCTGAGCCCTGAGGCACCACTTCAGCTCCCCAGCATGTCCCACCTTTCCTCAGACCTGGAAGCACAGAAAACATTGTCCTGAAAAACATTCTCTCCACTGCTCCCACTCTTCCTTCCAGCCTCACTCAGAAGTCTTCTGAGGAAGCCTTGCTGGCCCAGGTACCACCCCATGCGCTCTCACAGCACCCAATGCAGGACCTATTACAAGTCTGCACCTGCGTCCCAGACAGTAGGTTCCCTGAGGGCGGGCAGTGTTTCCTGTTCACCACCAATCCTCATGTCTCCCTAGATCCACAGGACAGGTGTCCTAGATTCACTCAGGTTTTTACCCAAATTATTTATGGTGCTTGTGCCTACTAACCAACATCAGAAACACCCTCCTTGGAATGTTCCTCAGCTGCCTCTGAGTGGCTCTCAGAGGGCTCTTACACGTGCAAGAGCCACCCCCAGGTTATTTGTGGAGAACCGTTCCTCACCCCATCAGCCCAGAAAGCTGGTAGCCCTGGAGAGGAGTAGCTCTTCCCACCAGTGACCTTGGCCAATGCCTCACCTAGCTCTGGAGAGGGGATAGAGCCCACTGTTGACTGCTGCTTCACAAATATGGGCCAAGCCCCATCCCCTTCCTGCTACACACACACTCACACACACACACACACACACAGAGTAATAAGGTTTTATTAAAGTTTCAGGAAAAACAGAAGGGAGGCACAACAGAGACACAAGCCATAACTGCTTCTTGAAGTTGCTACTCAACCCACCCACATGGCAGGTGCCGCTCCCAGTTCCTGACGTAGGTCTGTGTCAGGGTTCAGACCATCTGCAGCCCCAGGCAGCTCTACACCTTGGGATTTAGCCAAATTCACTCGTTGCCTCAGAGAAAGGAAGGTTTGCTCTCACCCTCTCCTGAGGCTTGTCTCTCCAAATCCTCATTTCTAGTCCTAGAATCAACTTCTGCTCCTGGACTAGTGGTTAAAACTTTGGGAGCCAGGAGCAGCAGGGACTTTGGGTCAAGGACAAAGGAATAAGGGGAGGGTATAGCTCAGGTGCAGAGTGCACGCTTAGCATACACAAGGCCCTGGGTTCAATAAAAGGCATCCAGGTTAGAAAGGTAAAAGTAAAGTTTTGCAAATAATATGATCTTATACATAGAAAACCCTAAAGACTTCCCCCAAAGCTGTTACAACTAATAAGTGAAATCAGCAAAGTGGCAGGATATAAAAGTCAGTTGCATTTCTATACACAAACAATGAACAGACTGAAAAGGAAATTACGGAAACAATTCCATTTAAAAACAGCGTCAGAAAGAATACTTGGGAATTAACCAAAGAGGTGAAGATTTACACAGTGAAAATTACAGAACATTACCGGAAGAGATTACAGAGGACCTGTAAATGGAAACACACCCCGTGTTCATAGATTGGAAGATGTATTGTTAAAAAGTAACACTACCCGAAGCAATCTACAGATTCAGTACAACCCTTATCAAAATCCCTACGATGGTTTTTGCATAAATAGCGAAACCCATCCTAACATTCACATGGAAACTCAAGGGACCCCAAACAGCCAAACAATCCTGAAAAAGAACAAAACGAGGATTCACACTGCCTCATTTCAAAACTTACTACAAAGCTATAATAATCAACACAGTATGGTACTGGTAAAGACAAGACATATATTCCAATGGAATACAATAAAGAGCCCAGAGATAAAGAAACCCTCATATATATGGTCACACAATTTCTGACAAAGGTGCCAAGACCATTCAATGGGGAAAGCACAGTCTTTTCCACAAATGGTGCTGTTAAAACTGGATATCCATACGCAAAAGAATGAAGTTAGTCCTTACCTAAAACCATATACAAAAATTAATTCAAAATGGATCACGGACCTCAGTGTAAGACTCAAAACAATAAAACTCTTAGAGATAACATAGGGCAAAAGCTCCACAACACTGGACTCGGCAGTAATTTATTGGCTATGACACCAAAGCATAGGCAGCAAAGAAAAAAACGGACAAATTGGACTTTGTGAAAAATTTCAAATTTTGTGCATGAAGAGACATTAACCACAGAGTAAAAAGGCAGCCCACAGAATGGGAGAAAATATTTGCAAATCATGTATCTGATAAGGTATTAATACTCAGAATATATAGAGAATTTCCAAAACTCAACAGCAAAAAAAAAAAAAAAAAAAAAAAAAAGGGCAAAGAACTTGAATAGACATTTCTCCAAAGAAGATGTACAAATGGCCAATAAGCACAGGAGATGCTCAACATCATTATCACTGGGAAATGCAAATCAAAACTACAATGAGATACCACCTTACACCCATTAGGATGGCTACTACTTAAAACAACAGTAACTAGCAAGTGTTGGTTAAAGAGGATGTGGAGAAATTGGAAAACTTGTCCACTGTTTGTAGGCATGTAAAATGGCACGGACACTGGTGAAAACAGTGTGGGTGGTTCCTCAAAAAGTTAAAAATGGAACGGCCATATGATTCAGCAATTCCACTTTTGGGTTTATGCCCTAAGGAACTGAAAGCAAGATCTTGAAGAAATATTTACAAATTCATGTTCATAGCAGAATTACTGTCAATACTAAACAGCTAAAAAGTGGAAGCAAACCAGGTGTCCATTAATGGATGAGTGGATAAGTAAAAAAAAAAAACACACACACACACACACACACACACATACACACACACACATATAAACAGGATATTATTCAACCTTAAAAAAAGAAGGAAATTCTGCAATATGCTACAACATAGAAGAACTCAAGGACATTATGCTAAGTGAAATAAGCCAGTCACAAAAAAATAAATACTGTAAGATTCCACTTATATGAGATACTTATTAGAGTAGTCAAAACCATAAATCAATAGAGAAAGCATAGTGGTGGTTGTCAGGGGCTGGAGGGAGGGAAGAATGGGGAGTTATTGTTTAATAGGTATGGAGTTTCAGTTTTACAAGATGAAAACAGTTATAGGGATGAATGGTGGTGATGGCTGCACAACAATGAATAATTAATACCACTGAACTGTACAGTTAAAAATTGTTAAGATGGTCAATTTTATGTGTATTTTACCACAACAAGGAAAATGAACAGCCTGGGAAAACACTTGAATTTGCATTAAGTGTTTGCTATTATTCTCTCTACTTAGGGGAACGAATCAAAGCCAAGATGCAAGCAGAACTCAGCATCAACAAGTGATGCAGAGGCAGAGCTCCGATGGGGGCCAGAATCCTGATTCTTAATCTCGCGCAGCCCCTAACAATAACTCAGTGCTGTTTTGGCCTTTTCCTCCTGGTTGCAAGACGGCTGCAGCAGCTCCTACGGTTATGCCCTTTGATGGCAGGGAACAGAGGTCAATGTAGGGCAGATGGGCAGATCCTCAAATGCCTCTCCCCTTTTATCAGAGGGAAAACCCTTTCTACAGCCCCGGGCATATTCCTTGCATAATTTACAAGCCAGGACTGGACTACATGCCTACCCTTCAGTAAGCTGAGTCCTCTTTTCCTGAGAAAGTAATTTCCCCCAATTCTTCAACAAAACTACAATTTTACTAGTATGGAAAATGGGGGCATGGCCATCAGTTTTGCTATACTGTTCCTAAAGCATCTCTTGGCCATCCTACCATTAAGACTCTTAGTCCCGACCACCTCAGAAACACAAGTGAATATAAATTAATTCACTTCATCCTGCACAAATGAATATAAATTAATTCCTCACTCTTTGT